TATCAAAATGGTTCAGGTCCTAACTGGAGGAGAGGAAGTATTTTGATTATTGGAAGTTATAAGTTGGAACAAATGGCTTTGACGTGTGGAGTTCCTCAAGGTTCAGCTCTAGGACCACTTTTGTTTAGTCTATATACAGTATGCTACCATTAGGTAAGTCTCTACAGAAATGTAATGTTGACTGTCATGGTTATGAAGATGACGCACAGCTATTTTAAGCACCATGTCAAAATGACAACAGTTCAATAGAATTGTTTTGTGTCTGTCTAACCCAAATAAATAATTGGATGAATCAAACTTTCCTCCAGCTGAATCACAACACAAATGTTAGGGTTAGCGTTAGGGTGAATAACTGCTGTTAGCAAACACTTTGAGTCACGGACTTTAAAAACCATAGGTTAAGTCTGAAATCTTGATGTGTTGCTAGATTGTGATCTGACTTTTAGCAGTCAGATCAAATTAATTTCCAAAACAGCCTTTATCCAGACGTAAAGACGTTATGTCCCAAACAGACAAGGAGAAGCTCATGCATGCTTTAATATACGTACTGGATTATTATAATGGTCTTCTAACTGGACTCTCCCAAAAAAAAAGGAGAGAAATTAAACAGTTGCTAGAGTTTATGGAGTGCCAAGTGTAAAATAAAAAGTTAAAAAAGCGCTAACAGCTGTTAACGCTGCTGAAGATTGTAGTAAAATCTAAATTCAAAATGTGTTCATTGAAAACTATATAGACGGTCTCTGTGGTCCGGCAGTTCGAAGTGCATCCCGGACACTGGCCACAACTGCAAGTCTGAAGTGTTGCAGGGAAGTGTTAGCAGTGTTAGCATTAGCGGTTGCTATTGTCTCAGGATGATGACGTCCTAAATAAAGCCGAGCACCAACAGAAAAAACTGGGTTCCATTCCAAAATACTTAAATTAAATTAAATTAAAATTACATTAAATTAAATTAATTTAAAATTACTTCAACATTTGGACACAACGTTTAAGATTTAACTCTTATATTTAGATCAAGAATTTAATATTTACATATATTATTCACACATATTATTTAAATATTAAATAATATCTGTAAATAATATTTACGTATATTATTTAATATTTAAATTTAACATTTAGTAAAAATGAGCAAAATGTAAGAACAGTGAGCTAAATAACAATAAAATCCTAGTGGAAACATTTTAACCAGGATTTTATGTTCAGAAAGTGAGCTAAGTAATGAAAATGTATTAGTGTCGTTTTTTTTAAACATTTTGTTTTACACTTGGTGCCCCATAGAGGCTCGGGTTTTGACCGTATATGTAAGATTTGAGCATTTTAACCCAGTTCTAAAGTCTTTACACTGGTCCAGTCACACATAGAATAACTTTTGAAGTTTTATTGCAGGTATGTAAAACACAAAATGATGTGGGGAAACATTAGATGTACAACTGATTCACTAGAGCAGTGGTTCCCAAACTTTTTATCTTCTGACCCACAAAATATCCATGGCTTAAACTTGTGACCCCAAATATTACTGGTCTGAGTACACGAACTTCGTTAATAACCCTAAAAACACAGGTTTTTTGACAATCTAAACAGCTTATACACAAATATAAATACTTATTTTTACTTATTTTGTGTTTTTGTAATAAATATAGGGAAAATGCTACATCAGCTTTATATCTGGAGATTATCCAAGGTGCTTCATGACCCATAATTGGGTCCCAAGCCCAACTTTGGGAACCAAAGCTGAGAGTCGTTCACAACACATTGTTTCACTGAAATGAAGTCCTTTATTTCTCAACTTAAGATCGTCCAAGTTTAGTTAAAACTCTGGTATGAAAGGCAGTGAACTTCAAGGACTCGTTCCTTTTTTGTAAAGAAGTTTCTTTTAAGCACCCAGACTTTCTTTCTTTTTAAAGTGGTCTTGATCTGTAGTACTCCAGACTTTCTAAAGGTCTAACAAAGTTTTTAATTTCAACTTTGGTTGCCTTTTTTAAAAGTTTTTTTACTATCCTTCAATCCAGTCTTTTGTTTGCTTTTTTAAGCCACTGAACTCTGACCGGTGACGCATTCAGGCATAGAAAGGCTCCTGAACTCTAAGGAAGAACTTGTGTCAACACGTAACAGACAGCTTAAAGTTTGAATAGGATCTTGAGACTTTTTGGTTACAGAGACTCATTTTGCTCCAGTTTCTTTCAGCAAATCCATAAGAAAAAGTTTGTAATAAAGCAGCTGAAGACCAAACACAAACTGTTGTGTTCAGAAAGTCTGAAGAACAGTTGATCAGAACCACTTTAACAGATTAAAGTAAAGTTTGGCTTCTTGGGAAGAGGACACAAAGTAGAGTTTTGAAAGTTTTGCACTGTACTGTATTGAAGCTGATAAGCAACAATTAGATAAGTAATTTAAATAGGTCATTATGCATGTAATACTAGCTGCAGCTGAATGTGTCTAACCTGGACTGTGCTCAGAGAGTCACATGTTTCTGGCTCCTGGTGGCTGTCAGACTCAGTTTGATGTATTTTGTTGGGATTTTGTCTCGTTTAAGATGAGAATCTGCACGTTTTCCCCTGTTGTGATTTTTGCCTTTGATTTATTTCAGCTGTTTTCTTTTCAAATGCTCCTGTGTTGATCCAGAAGCATATCTCCAACATTACCCGCAGAATAAGGCTTAATAAAAATAAACTCCTACTCTTTTTGAGACAAAGCTGTTGTTGCTTCAGGAATCAAAGTTAAATATAGTTTTCACTCTGGTTTTCTAAGCAGCATCTTATGAGGTGCCGTTTATAACGTTACACAGTCAAAAATTACCACCAATATTTTTGTTTTATTAGACTTTTATAACAAACAAAAGAACAGATTTATTTTTCAAAGTCAGTTTTTCACCATATGATTCATACAATTATAAATGTCATAGTTTATAAGCTAAATATTTA